CCATATATCATTTGGGCCAATCCAAGGTCGGAGGAGGAAGTTAAGGCCAAAACAAATTGCTAACTCATTTTGCGCGCTGATAAAATCCATCCTGAGCATGGCTCTGTGTTTGCTAGGTAACAGACTCCATATTTATCCAATGGGGCTGAATTTTGGATATGTTATAGTACACACCCATTGAAACAACTTTCATGAAGAATGCTGCCTCATCCGAGCTGTGTAGGTTGCTGAAACAAAGCTTGCAATATGACCTACGGAACTGGACTGGCAGGGGGCTGTAGCCAAAATGAGTTGTCTTTTAAGCTCTTCATCCATTCATCCAAATTAGGCCTTAACATGCATGGATTGCATCATTTCCTATCCAAAGCCATCATTTCCTATCCAAAGCCATCATTGTTACCTAAAGCTGAAAGATAAACACAAAAAGGATTAAAAGCACAAGTTTAACTAAAAAACATAACCAAATCATAAGCTAGAAGGGTACAAAATGATATACAATTATGAACCGATCAGGCCTTTAATGTTATCAACCTATGTTTGCGGCCCAATTTAGGCGCATTTTGTATTTGTACTAAAGTGTGGGAATTTGGGGGAATTTTTTATTTTTTTTTAAAAAGGGATCTTTCAATAAAGGCCCATTTTGTATGAGGACTAAAGTGTTGGCTTTAACCCAACAATTATCTACTTATGATTGTGGCCCAATTTACCTGATCATGTGCCAGCTAGATACGTATTTTAGGATTAGTTTTCTTAAAAATTACAACATTTGCCACTCCTATCTAGAGGTCATCAATGGGTCGGGCTTGGCCAGTCCGGGCCAAATTTAATGGGCTTGAGATGGGCCGGACTTCAAGAAGGAGAGAGAAAATAACGGGTCAAGTTGGGCTTTTACAACAAATTCAAAGTCCAGGCCGGCCCCATGGGCCAGGCCTGAGAAAGCCCATCGGGCCAGGCCCTAGCCAGGCCTATTGGGCCAAGTCTAAATAGGGCCACTATCTGTTTCTCTTATTTTTTTCCTTTTTATTCTGCATCAAAGGGATTCTAGTCAATCTAACGGTTGGGATTTATATAGAAGTGGGCTTATTTCTACATAAAGGAGTGGGCTAATATTGGATTTACCTAGTTTAGGCTTCGACAACTTAGAATGAGTTGTATAATTTTAAAGTTCAGCACTGGGCTGGAGTACATGTAGATCCGCACATGGTTCCAATGCAGATGAGTTTGCTCACAGTTGGGGTTTGATATTTATAGCCAATGAGGGAGCTAGAGTCTAAACAATGGGGAGGCAATAGCTAAAAAAGAAATGAAATTACATACATATTTCACATTTTATATAAAAACTTCAATGAATTACATAATTCCTTAGAACATGCACCGCAAATTTTTGTTTGCTATAATATTTTGGTTGACATAATTAGTAATTTGGAATCTTTGAATAAAATGAGCAATTTGGCATCTTTAAGCTTCAGAAGTTAAATGTGCTTACGTTAATTACATTACATGCGTGCAATGCATATATATGGCGATTTCTTCAATGGAGTTTTCGAGGGCCCCATGGATGCGCCCAACTCCATTGGCAACACCGAAATCAATTGGGACAAGTATGTTCTTTGTTTCAGTTTTCCCTTTTTGTTTGATTCATTGACAAATCCCATTGCTTGCTTTTTATCTGTCACCTTAGAAGAAATACGAAAGTAGAATATAATATAGCAATATGCACGTATAAATATAATGTATTTGACTTTACAAAATACAAGGCACAAAGAACCCATGTTTAAATTTAGCCCTTCTTTCCTAGAAAGAGGGAAAGAAATATCCCAAAAGTAAACGTAACAACTACAAAAGAGAGTAGGAAACTAGCACAACAAAACTATGCAAATTCGATTGCACTGCATGGAAACAGAACATGGAGGCTGTTATAAAAATTATAGTTTTTTTTTTTTTTTTCTGTAAAGTTATGCAAAAATATTTATATTATAAATAATATATAAAACAAAATGGAAAACTTTTTGAGGTAAAGTAAAACTAAAGAAACACATAAAAAATAAATTAAGATTAAGAAAACAAGTTTGGTATGGTGAAGCACGTCAGAGACGCTATCCTAAATTCTTTGTAGCCTCCTTACCTGTAGGTAGGGGCGGCCCTGAGGGTGTGCAAGTGGTGCCACTGCACAGGGCCTCCAAATTTTTTATACGTATATGTTATATAAATTAATATTTTAAATATTATGGTGTGCGTTGTTTTGTTGCACTTTAATTTCTACTAATGGTGTGGGTTCGAGGCCCGCCTGTCTCATCATGATTGATTATATAACGAAAGATAACAAGCATTGCATATATATTTGATAGTTTATATATATATATATAGGTTATTCCCAGCAATGGTCCCTCAACTATACCCGTAGTTACAGTTTGGTCACTCAATTCAATTATTAGTTGCAGAGGTCACTTAAGTAAGTGTTGTGTTGCACCATTAGTCATTCCGTCAAACTCTGTTAAATTTTCTGTCAAAAGTGAGAGTAAATTCGGAAATTCATCCACAACCCTCCCTTCATCCACAACCCTCCATTGTTGCAACCCAATCCTTGCTTCTCCTCCCTCGTACCAAAATCTCCACAAAATTTCTACTCTCAAACATGAAAGTAATAATACAAAAAATGAAGCACAAAACATGTGATTAAATTGTATAACCTTTGAAAAAGGACAAAAAAAGAAAAAAAGAAAAAAAGCAGAAGATCTTGCTTACTTCGTTCCAGTGGGATTAAAGGCAATTGAAAAGGCAGCTGTGATACCAACAGGAGTTGGTCCAAGTGGAAGGGGCTTGGATCCTTTAAACAAGAGGTCCTGGGTTTGATCCCAAGCGCTTGCGAATAGAGCAGACTTTGTTGGGAGAGGTCCCCGCTTTGCGCCCGACAGTACCTCGAGGGTTAGTCCCCGCAATCGCGCGGGGGATACCTTGGTTTTCACCCAAAAAAAAGGCAGCTGTGATTTCATCCACGACATCATAAGCACGATACGTGCAACGTAGCTGCAATTTTAAGCCAAAGAAAATGGTGTTAATGAAATACACAAATATTGAATCCCCAAATACATATCAGAACTTCATATACAAGGAAACAGAGTGATCTAAACAAGGAATAGTCGAATTGTATATGTTGCAATGACATATCAAGGGGTAAACTTTACGAAGATACTAATTTTCTTTGCATAATGAAGACTTGCAATAATGAGCCAGCACCAGTGTTGTGTAGATACAGCTGCACCAAAATGGATTCAGTTGCATTCTCAACTTGTGATACTCGCAAGTGCACGAGCCGTTTGGTAGTATGCGTATGTAAGTGCGAGGTCGATTCCACAGGGAT